GAAAAAGGATTCATTTAGAATTGTTATGGCTATGGTGGCTCATTATGACTTAGAGCTACATCAAATGGATGTGAAAACCGTTTTTCTAAATGGAAATTTAGATAAAGAAGTTTACATGGACCAACCCGAGGGTTTTTCAGTTGAAGAAAAGGAACATATGGTGTGTAAGCTTAAGCGGTTAATATACGGACTCAAACAAGCTTCCCGACAATGGTATCTTAAGTTTAATGATACTATCACATCTTTTGGATTTAAAGAAAACATCGTTGATCGATGTATATATCTAAAGATTAGTGGGAGCAAGTTTATATTTCTGATTCTGAATGTTAATGATATCTTGCTTGCTGCTAATGATCTTGGCTTGTTACACGAGACCAAGAAATTTCTCTCTAAAAACTTCGAAATGAAAGATATGGGTGAGGCATCTTATGTGATTGGAATTAAAATATTCCGTGACAGATCACAAGGATTGTTAGGGTTGTCTCAGAAATCATATATTAATAAAGTTCTAGAGAGGTTCAAGATGGATAAACGCTCTGCATCTGCTGTTCCAATTCAGAAAGGGGATAAATTCACTCTTATGCAATGTCCAAAGAATGAATTGGAACACAAACAAATGGAACAAATTCCTTATGCATCCATCGTTGGGAGCTTGATGTATGCTCAGGTTTGTACAAGACCTGACATTAGTTTTGCTGTCGGAATGCTGGGTAGATATCAAAGTAATCCAGGATTGGATCATTGGAAAGCTGCAAAGAAGATATTGAGATACTTGTAAGGAACAAATGATCATATGCTCACTTATAGGAGATCTGATCACCTTAAGGTGATTGGATATTCCGATTCAGATTTTGTTGGGTGTTCGGATACTAGAAAATCCACATTTGGCTATTTGTTCCTTTTAGCTGGAGGAGCGATCTCATGAAAAAGTGCGAAGCAGTCTGTCATTACTGGATCGACTATGAAGGCTGAGTTCGTGGCATGCTTTGAGGCCACTGTTCATGGATTATGACTGTGAAATTTTATTTTAGGACTTGGAATTATTAACAGTATTGTCAAGCCGTTGAAAATTTATTGTGATAATGCTGCAACAGTCTTCTTTTCTAAAAACGACAAGTATTCGAAAGGTGCTAAACATATGGAATTAAAATACTTTGCATTAAAGAAGAAGTTCAGAAACAAAGAGTGTCAATTGAACATATTAGCACAAATCTCATGGTTGCGGATCCGTTAACAAAAGGATTGCCACCAAAGATATTTACTGTACATGTCGAAAGAATGAGCATTATTAAAAATTATCATTGACTTTTATGTAAGGTTTATGTTCTTTATATATTTGACACTTTGAGCTCATCTGAACAGTGTTTCTGATATATTAATGCATCCTGTTTATTATTGTCAGTATATACATGAATGATTATGTGAATATTAACAGGATACGTCTCTAACAAGGACATTATTGTTGGACCATTATGATAAATCTCATTACAGATCATGTTTAGTTTAAAACTAATATTGTGATACATGGAAGGGACTATGTCGATTTAACTACGTGCAACCGCCATGATCCTTATTAGTTTTATACTTAATGATGATTGATGTTTTGATCAATATGATGATGAAATTAGCTTACACTATGCATATTATATTGTATTATTAAATCATGATGTTAAATTATGAAACATGTGCCAAGTGGGAGAATGTTAGATTTTAGTGGCCCACATTTTGTTTTAACCAACTTTAGTGGTCAAGTTATTTTTTCTCACGTTTTTAATTAGTTTAAGAAACTGGTCATGTTTTATTTAGTTATATAACTACTCACGTTTTTATGCCAAATTCCTATTGATCAATTAAGATAACTACTTACGTTGATGGAGTGTGAGTGATTATTCTTTTTGTTTTAACCAACTTTAGTGGTCAAGTTATTTTTTTATCATGTTTTTAGTTAGTTTAAGAAACTGGTCATGTTTTATTTAGTTATATAACTACTCACGTTTTTATGCCAAATTCCTATTGATCAATTAAGATAACTACTTACGTTGATGGAGTGTGAGTGATTATTCTATTTAAAGGCTTGGTCCTCTCGCTACCTAGTATGTGAAAATTTTCTCTCCATCAAGAAAATTTCGGAAAAGCTCAAGAGGGTTAAGGGAGAGAAACTCAAGTCTTCAAGGTTGTTCATCTTGCAATCAATTTCTCCTCAAGCTTTAAATTATGGATCAAGGTACGTTTTTTTTCCTTAATTAATTGTTCATAGTGAAAATTATTTGTTCTAACATCTTGGTATAATGATAATCAAATCAAAATCGAAGTTTAGATTGATTTGCCTAAATATAAATTAAGGTTACAGATTTACCTGAGCACAAAAGGAGTGGATAGCTTGTCAGGCACAGGATATCCAAACAAAGCTGATGCTTTTGCCATCTTAAGCAGCACTCTTCTTACAATTTCACCTAGGTACATTCCAGAGATTGTTTTCTCAAATATCTGAATTCCAGGAAAATTGAATGGATACCGAATCATTCGGTTTGAATCCAAGTCAGAATAAGACCAATGAGAATAATTAAAAAAAAGAGGGTTCTGCAAACATGAAAGAAGCAGCTATTAGCACAAATAGGTATTACCTGCTCTCCAGGATTAATGCTTTCAGAATCCATATCTCTATCAAAAACAGTCAAAGGAAGACCAGTTGAGAATGCCCCCCATTCAGTGTTGATAATCTGAGATGTGAACAAGGATTAAGTCAAGCTCACGATAGGATCGTACTTCTAGATCTCTATCTGAAGATGAAGAAACATTTCTTCACAGTCACTTATTAACTTTCATGATGAGGATTTTATCCTGCATAGAGCGACAAAACTTTAAAATTGACCAAAAGCTTGTGAGAGAAAAAAAAATCTTGGCTAACTTTTCAAATTTTGAAAAAAATGTCATATTGATCTCTTGGAATCTTCATCACTAATGCCACCACCACTGACAGCAGAACTGTCTTTCAGACTTTTTTTTTTACCCAAACAAGCTTAGTCATGGAACATTACTCAACATTGAGAAAGATAAGGAAGAATTGATGAAATTTTCCAGCTAAAAATCTGAGATTAAACTTTTTTTCTTTAGATGGTGCCAAATTTCTGGTGAAGAAACTGCAAATAGAGGGGTTTTACACAAAACCTACTAGGCTAGTTGGAATTAAAGAAAATTAACCTTGTTGGTTGTGCTTGTTAAACTTTGGCAACAAAGAAACAAGTTTTACACTAGTCTCGAAGAAGAGCGAGGGTGATAAAGTTCATTAAGAAAATTGTTCAGACCTCTTAGGCATAGTGCAAGCCCATGAACCAAACTACACTCACTTTGTAGATCTCAAACAACATCCACTTTCTACCATTTATTCCTGAAAATTTTAACACAAATTTTTTTACAAACCGTTTTTCCTGACCCATCGGCAAGTTTCCCCATTTTAGCAATGGCATCCATCCTCTCAATATAGCATGCATTGGTACCAGTACCCAGAATTACCGCAACCACCACATCTTCATCCCAGTAGTGAGCTCCAGCTAGTGTTCCAACTGCATCATTCACCTGACCAGAAGAAGAAGAAAGTAAGATATCAGTTGACCCTATAAAACATGAATCAATGAACGTCTCTAAGATAGACCTTATAAGACATCAAATTCTTATGAAACCCAAGCATGCTATTGGTAAACATACCAAGGCTGATACCCGCATATCTAAACCCTGTCTTTTCATTGCTTCTTTTAAACATTCAACGACGTCCTTTCCCGCCTGTTCAACAGCAGTTACTGGTCAGCTTTAATAATTGAATGCAATGGGAGTAAATTCTAAATAGGAAAAATCAGGCATGGACTATCCACTTTCAAGCTTTAGTTATAAATGACATGATGAATAACAGAGTTCTTTTTAGCGAGACTGGCTAGAAAACCCCTCTCAGATAGTTAATAACATTAATCTTCGATCTGGCACCAGTTGATGAAGTAGTAGGAGTGTACAATGTCCAATAGAAGCTAAAGAAAAGTTATATAAATAATCTCAAGCTGTGGAGAGCTCAACGTTCAATTTTAAATAATAATTTAGGACTGAAGTTGGGATGATCTAAATTCCAAAAAAAAAGACAGGCTAGAATCTGTGTGCAAAGTTTGTATCTCCAGTTTTGTACAGCATAAGGCTGCAGAAGATATATATAGAAATATGCTTCAAAATTCAATCGCACTAAGACACTTTCTCTAACGGTATTATAGTTATTTCTGAACCATTCAACCATTCAACACATCAGGCATGGTTCGGCAATGATCAATTTATCATTCTTGCTCCAAAGTTTTAACAACAAGAAAACGAGATAATGATCAGTTTATTATTCTTGGTCCTATGTTTTAACAATGAGAAAACTTTATCTTGTTTTCTTATATTTTTAACCAGAAGATTATAGCTTTGAGGGGCCTTAAGCAGGAAAGTCTCTTTCTCATTTCAAATTCTAGGAATACACTAATGTTTTAGCAGGTCAGAAGTAGAGTTGTTTTACCTTCTATATACCATAATAATCATCTCTATTATCATTTTTTAAGATCCACAGTTGACAGAAAGGCACATGAGTTGGAACCATCTTCTTTAGACAGAGGTAAAATATGGAAGTATATTATAACATTATTTTGTCTTTATACGCAGGACATTTTAGTGATATTTACATGCACATCTCTGATACATTTCAATGGAGAAATTTGATACCAGATCTTGTCGCTGAGGTTCAATATCAGAGCATTATGCGTAAAGAATCAGAAAATGAAGCTAAATGACGTGCAGATTAGAAGTAAACAGAGTTCAAACTAATGAAATCTCATCCTATGGTGGGATCACAATAATACTCAGAAAAACTGTAATGCCAAAGTATACCCAAACTCAGAGGAAAGAGAAATTCTAACAAACAGCATATTTTTAGTCTGATAAGTAATAAGAGTGCAAAAACATGTTCTTATTGTCCCCAGTTGTAGATTTGTAGTTAAGAGCAGAACAAAGGGAAACTCACTTCCTCAAAAAAATAAATCAAAGAAACTCACTGTCCCAGAGACAGCAAAACCCTTTGTCCACTTGATAAAAATGCCTGAGTCAATTGAAGTCTGCCTCACAGGAAAAGAAAATGTAAAACCAATCTCTCCTTTCCTCCCTTGAGGCCAGCGAAACCTCGCACTCTCCTTCGCTGCAAACCTTGCTAACTCAGAAGCAATAAAATCAAACAACTCCTGCGTTCAGATATGCACAATTACAAACAAATGATACCACAGGATCTTGCATGCGTAGGAGGGAACATTCAGTGTGATGATGAAATAAAAAAAGCCAACCTCCGTAGTACTATGCATGAGCTCCTGAGGAATTGCAACTTGCTCGAATTCAGTATCGACCACTCGGCTCTCCTTTCCTCCCAATTGCACCCTCAGCACCCGGAAATTTGTTCCACCAAGATCCAACGCGTAAAACAGACCCTTTTCATCCCTACGGAAAATAACTTCATCACTCAAAGAAACTACACGACCGAATACGCACGAAGTCCTAAAAGTTCCCAGTCCGATATGCCGCTAGTTTCTGCACTAGATAATGAAGTCCTTTCCTTGTTGACGTTGCACTAGAGATAATATTTTTACAATTCATATCCAACGCGTAAAACAGACCCTTTTCATCCCTACGGAAAATAACTTCATCACTCAAAGAAACTACACGACCGAATACGCACGAAGTCCTAAAAGTTCCCAGTCCGATATGCCGCTAGTTTCTGCACTAGATAATGAAGTCCTATCCTTGTTGACGTTGCACTAGAGATTTTTACAATTCATTCTTATTACTCAAGCAACCATATTTGATAAAACCTCCATTAAACCAAATTCTTCAAAAAAATTTAAATGTCTTACTAAAAAGATTTCAGCTTTTCTACTTAACCTACCACATAATTCCCAAGTCCTGCTTTTGATCATATTATCGACAACTTTACCGTAAATCAAGAAAGAATTCTCAAGCAAGCTATACATACACTGAACACTATATTTCGGTCACCAAATATATTAAAGTTCGATAATCTAAGCAAAATTCAACGAGAAGAAGAAACAAATCTCACCCAGTGGGAAGAGAATCGACGTAACTCAGGATCATCTTGAGATCAAGCATACATCTCGATGTTGATCTCTCGAAAGTAAGTGGCAGCACTAGCAATTGCCGTAGGAGAGTAGAAATGGCCATTTTCTTTTTCGCCGAGGTTTGGGTTTCTCGAGTTTCTATTTTATTATTATTATTAAATTTAATAATTTTTTGGTACAGTTGGGGCGAGAATATTCGGTTGACCGCGCTTCCGTTTTAGTTTTTGGGGTGAGATCATCGATCGATTGAAGTTTTCTTCTTTTTTTTTTTTAAAATTTTTCCTACTTTTGTCTTTAAATTAATTTTTGGGTGTGTATAGTACATTGGAGGACATTTTGGGGGCGGACGTGTCGAAGTTGATCCTTGATTTTGTAGTTTTGTTGTTGAATTTTATGCCGTTGTTTGGAAATGATCTGTCTTTTCCTTCGTAGGATTCGTATGCACAAGTAAGTGGGACGTTTAAGTGGATCATCGGGACCACCTCTGCCACAAGGTTGGATCATCAATGTTTTAGATTGGACTAAAGTTAAGTGGAAATTTATATGTTTAGACAAAACTCTGTTGCGCGCAGCGGAAATTTCGGCAGCACTTCGGCAACACAACAAGAGAGTCAGATCGCAATAAGAATTCCCGTCTCACCAAGGAGACAAGAATCTGAAGCGGATATCTCAACCAAGTGAGATATCGGCTCTTCCTCTCATCAGTTCTAGGACTGACCTGTCGAGGGATCCTAAAAGCTATTACAAATCACACAAATAGCAGTACAACCAATTTTTACGTGGTTCGGCAAATTGCCTATGTCCACGGGGCAAGGAGGGGGAGAGATCTATTATTAGAGGGGGAGATTACAACTAGGGTTTACAATCACTCTCAATCTAAACCATCAAACAAACTCTCAAATCCCTCACAATATCTATCTCAAAGCAACAAACAAAAGCTCTGTGCTCCAATTGCTTTTCCCAGCCGAAAAAATAAACCAAGCCTTGCTCTGCTTTTTCTCCAGCCGCACAAAAGCACCCACAGCCGCAAAAACCAAATCGTTGCACACCTCCTTCGCTGTCAAAACCCTAATAAACAATTGTTATATATAAGCATCAGTTGCGGTTCGTGGGCCGGCACGGAAACGAATCCACGCGGTTTCATTTGCACAAACCGCGTCTCACTCTATTGGTAGACCCCACCACCACGTTCACAATTCTCCACCTCGGTGAAGTTTTCCCAAAACTGAGCCGACACCAAAGCAACCAAATGTCCCACTTATTGTCGGGAACCAAAACGAGAGTCCAAACAATCTCACCCCATCAAAATTAACTAGTCCAAACCGGCTGCATCTGAAAGACTGCCTACGTATCCTCTTGCCCAATGAATCAAGCCGAACGTAGTTCATCCAAATGGCCGCCAACGGCCTCAACAATCACGAATGTGCAACAAGTTTCGACAATGATCAAACTTGTTGCTCGGAACCACCTTAGTGAGCATATCCGCTGGATTATCCTTCGTGTGGACTTTCACAATTTCCACATCGCCATCTTCAAGAACATCTCGAACGAAGTGATAACGAACATCAATGTGCTTCGTCCGCGTATGAAAAACCTGATTCTTCGCCAAATAGATAGCACTCATGCTATCACAATTAATAGTGACGGACCTCTGCGATATACCAAGTTCCTCCAAAAGCTCTCGAAGCCAAATAGCCTCATTCACAGCCTCCGTAACTGCCATATACTCTGCCTCCGTCGTAGACAAAGCCACCGTCGACTGTAAGGTGCTTCTCCAACACACCGGCGCACAGGTCAACGTAAACACATACCCCGTAGTAGACCGGCGCTTATCCAAATCCCCGGCATAATCCGAATCAACATAGCCAATGCATAACTGCCCACCTGTAGTGTCCCGCTCATAAACCAAACCAACATTGAGCGTACCTCTAATGTACCTCAAAATCCATCTCACGGCGTCCCAATGACCCACTCCTGGATCGTGCATGTATCTCGATACCATGCTCACCGCCTGTGATAAATCTGGTCTCGTACATACCATCGCGTACATCAAACTCCCAACCACGCTCGCATATGGAGTCTTCGACATCAACTCACAATCTTCAACTGACTTCGGTGAAAGACCAGCTGAAAGCTTCAAATGGGCTCCTAAAGGTACACTAACTGGCTTCGTATCCATGCTAACATGGAATCGCTGTAGAACCTTCTTCAAATAAGCCACCTGTGTCAAACAAATTCTGCCCTTCTTCTTGTCTCTGCCGATCTCCATCCCTAGAATGCGCTTCGCCTCGCCCAAGTCCTTCATCTCAAACTCATTTGAAAGCTGAACTTTCAACTCATCTATAGCTGACCTAGAAATAGAGGCAACCAACATGTCATCGACATAGAGCAACAAATAAATGTACGCACCTCCTTTCAACTTGCGAAAATATACGCAAGGATCGAACTGGCTTCGAGTGTACGAATGACCAATCATAAAACCATCAAATCGCCTATACCACTGTCGAGGAGACTGTTTCAAACCGTATAGCGATTTCTTCAATCTGCAAACTAATTTTTCCTTCCCTGCAGCTCGGAATCCCAATGGCTGAGTCATATATATTTCTTCATCAAGATCACCATGAAGAAATGCCGTTTTCACATCCAACTGATCTAACTCCAAACCATACTGTGCCACCAAAGCTAGCAAAATCCGAATCGAAGAATGCTTCACCACCGGAGAGAAAACCTCATTATAGTCAATGCCTTCCTCCTGTGCATAGCCCTTCGCAACCAACCTAGCTTTGAACCTCAATGGAGTGCCCTCAATGCCCTCCTTCTTCGTGTATACCCACTTGCAACCAATTGCTTTCCGCCCCTTTGGAAGCTCAACAAGCTCCCATGTATCGTTCTTATGAAGAGATTCCATCTCCTCCTGCATAGCCACCTGCCACGAATCAGCCTCCGAACTCTGCTCGGCCTCTCTGAATGTAGTAGGCACTAACTCATCGATACTCTCCACCGGAAGTGCATACGCAACTGTGTCGGCATACCGTGCTGGCATCTGTATGTTTCTCCTCTGTCTCCTAGCCGCAATAGAATCCTGAACCTGAGCCGTCGGTTCCTGATCCTGCACATTTGTACTCGTATCCTCCGTGTCATCGTCGTGCTCGCCTGGCGTCACCTCAGTCGGCACCTGCATGGATACTGTACCATCTGGACAATGTGGAGCTGCATCGATCTCCACCACCTGCGATATCTCCTCCGTCGGGTCGCTCTCCACCTGATGAGAGCTGGGAAGCTTCAAGATAGAAGCCTCATCAAATGTGACGTCCCTACTCAGAACAATCTTTTTATCAACTGGATCCCAAAGCTTGTATCCCTTGACACCACGCTTGAATCCTACAAATATGGCCTTCCTAGCTCGAGGTTCCAATTTATCAGTTCTAACATGATAATATGCAGGGCACCCGAATACCTTGAGCTGGTCATAGTCATGTGCTGGCTTTCCCGACCACATCTCCATAGGGGTTTTCCCCTCAATCGCAGATGAAGGCAGCCTATTAATGAGGTGGCTCGCATATGTAAGTGCCTCAGCCCAAAAGATCTTCTCCAAACCACTCTGCGACAATAAGCATCGGATCTTCTCCAGTAAAGACCGATTCAACCTCTCTGCCACCCCATTTTGCTGCGGTGTATGACTAACTGTGAAGTGTCTCTCTATGCCCTCGTCTCGACATAGCTGCTGAAAGGGGTCAGAAGTATACTCACCACCGTTGTCGGATCGCAACGTCTTGATCTTTCTCCCAGTCTGCAGTTCCAATCTCTTCTTCCACTCCACAAACAAATCTAGGACTTCACTCTTCTTCGTCATGGTGTACACCCAACAACGCCTAGAATAGTCATCTACAAAAGTGACGAACCAATGTCTACCACCAAGTGATGCAGTCTTGGTGGGACCCCAAACGTCTGTGTGCACGTAATCCAGGATGCCCCTCGTCTGATGAATGGCAGTCCCGAACTTCACCTTCGTCTTCTTGCCAAGAACACAGTGCTCACAGAACTCAATCTTCCCACTCTTGGCTCCCTTCAATAGCCCCTGCTTGCACAATGTCTGCAGTGACTTTTCACCTGTGTGCCCCAATCTATAGTGCCAAAGTCTGCTCATGTCCGCTTCTGAAATAGCCGAAGCAACCTGGCCAATCTCGGTGCTTCCCTTCAGATAATACAAATTCCGATTGCGGACTCCCCTCATCACCACCAATGATCCCTTAGTAACCTTCGCTACAGCGTTTTCGAAAGTCACCTTGAATCCCTTCGCCTCCAAAGCTCCAACTGAGATAAGATTTTTCTTCAGTTGAGGAACAAATCTCACCTCCTTCAACTCACGGACTACTCCATCGTGCATCCTAATCCGTATGGTACCTATCCCACAAACGCCACAGGATTGATCATTTCCCATGACAACAACGCCCCCGTCGACTTTCTCAAAAGATGCAAACCAGTCTCGCCTAGGGGTCACATGAAAGGTAGCGCCGGAATCAAGCATCCAATCTGATGCATCCACATGGTTCACCTCCGGAGTAATCAGTAGAGAAAAGCACGAATCATCGGAATCATCGCCTTTCGCAATATTCACCTCATTGGCCTTCGGGCCCTTTTTCTTGCCATTCTCCTTCTCCTTGAGCTTCGGGCAGTCTCTCTTCCAATGTCCCTGCTCCTTGCAGAATGCACATTGGTTCTTTGCTAATTGGTGGCGGCTTCTTGGCTTTGACCTTCCTCTATTACTACCTTTCGGATATGGGCTTCTACCTCTCGTCGACAAGGCCTCTCCTGAAGTACTAGCGCGGGAAGTCTCCTTATCCTTCCTCCTCAAATCGTAGTTCGTCAAAGCGTTAGTCACTTCACTATAGCTGATAGAAGATCTCCCGTTCAACAAAGTGAGCACGAAGGTATCATACTCCTCATCCGGTAAGGAGCCCAACAAAATAATCGCCTTGTACTCATCCGATATCTTCTCATCAACATTCGCCAAGTCCGACAACAACTTCGTATAGTTGTTCACATGAGCCGCTAGCGAGGTGCCTCTGGACATCTGAAATCTGAAGAGTCTTCGCAGCAAGT